TCCTGGCGCAGGCCTCCAGTGATGCCCCCGTCTATGCGCTCGTACTTGTAGCCCTCGTACTCCAGGAAATCCTCCAGCAGGTCCAGCATCTTCGTCATCTGCACAGGACGAGCGTGGCGTGAGCAGCCGCGCGCGGGGGACGCCCCTGTCGCCGCTCGGGCACAGTGGGGCAGAAGCGCTGCACACGGGAGCGCCACGGGAGCACCACGCACGTGGGCACCACGCAAACATGGGCAATTAGAGCCCAGAGCCTCCCTCAGTGCTGCTGAGGCTGCTGTCTCTGTTATCAACACCCGAAGTCCTAAATATTAGAGGAACCTCTCAGGAGAGAGCTGGAACAGAGTCCACCCACCGCGATGGCCACATCTGCGCTGCTACCTGCTCTCCAGGCTGTGGCCAGCCCCACCACCCATCCCTACCTGTGCCCAATATCAAATTCACTGTAGAGCAAAAGTCTTTTAACAATTTACTGGGGTTCTTCGTTAGCACTTTCCCATTACTCACCTGGGAGAAGATGAGAACCCTGTGCCCGCCATCCCGTAACTTCTTCAGCATCTTCTGGAGAAGCATCAGCTTTCCAGAAGACTTAACCAAAGAATTCCCATCGTAGGATCCATTGGGCAGAACCGGAGCTTCCTGTGGAGCCATTCTCAGTTAGTGCAGACATTCCTCATTGCTCGAGTTACTATGGAGAGTCCCACACCCTCTGATTTAAAAACAATTCAATCAGCAGCTGAATGAGCCATGATTTTGTCCCTAAGAAATTCTCCTGAACAAGATACTCGATTGTGGGAAAAGACCATATGGAAAAGTGTGCCGGAGAGCCGGGGGAGCTTTCCTGCGATGCACAGCAACAGACTGCACATTCGGGAACACACTAGCCCTGGACTGTGCAGGCCTCTCAGGAGGGAAAAAAACATTAATTTCATGGAGAAATGAGAAATTCACACTTGTTGCCAAGACAAAATATCCCCATCAAACCACCCATGGCAAAAAAGAGGGGGAGATGTCGGGGACAGTCCCCAGTGATGGCTGTATGGACAGCAGGGTGCACATGAAGGTCCCTTACCACAGCTGCCACGGGGAAGAGGTACGGATGATTACAGCATTTCTTCAGATCCATCATGATGTTGAGCAAGGAGACCTGGTTCCCGCCACCTTTGGAATTCAAGGCTTCAAAATTCCTTGTCAGGATAAATTTGTAGTACTTCCTGCGCGAGGGGGGACAGAGAACGCCGTTAGCGTGGTCAGATCCGGGAGCACGTAAGGAGCACGGCACGGAACTGCGTTTCGCTAGTGTGGGAGCTCAAGAGGGAAGCTGCCCACCCCGGGTCGCCGCGCACGGTGGATCCGAGCGCAGAGGGATTTCCCGGCCCCTCGGGACGCCCGCCGCCCTGTGCCGCACTCGGATGGGGTGGCACAGAGGAGGCCCTGGGCCTCGCGCAGCCCCCGGCCCCGCGGCTCCTTACTTCTGCATCTGGCTGAGCTCCACGCGCACGATGAGCTCCGTCTTGGCCGGCATGTTCTTGAACACGTCGGCCTTGAGCCGCCGCAGCATGTGGGGACCCAGCAGGTCGTGGAGCTTTTTGATCTGGTCCTCCTTGGAGATGTCTGCAAACTCCTCCAGGAAGCCCTCCAGGTTACTGCGAAAGCAGACAGAAGCACACACTGCTGAGTTACAACGGGACACGCAAGAGCACAAACATTTGCTTCCTTATGACCTAAAGCCAAGAAAAGAGCTCCTTTGGCATCGATGAGCTAACACTGCCATGCCCCGTCCCAGCAAGCTGCTGCCAGCCCAGGAGCTGTGCTGACTGCTAAGGGAGGATCCACGCTAACCGCGCTAACACGAGCATGAACAACCTTCCCAAAGCATCGCTGCTCCCTACAACAGGTGGAAAGGCCAAGGCCGGCTCAGTCCCTCGCTCCTGAGCCCCTGACACGAAGGCAACATTCACTCACAGGGCCCAATAAGAAGTACTCGGGGCAAATAAAATACCCATGTGGCTGCTCTGGCAAACCGCTGGGACTGCGTGCTCTGCCCTCTACCTGCCAGCACACAGTAGTGACATTTGCACAGCAATAATTGGATCCGGGCATTACCAAGCAGATGGAGCCCCGTTGAACTGGAAAATCTCTACTTAGCAGCTCTGCTGGCCAAGAAGGCAGCATGCCCTTGTCACTCTCCCTGCTCACGGAGAGAACTGGTGCAACTTACTTAAACCTCTCTGGAGTCAGGAAATTGAGGAGGTGGAAGAGCTCTTCCAAGTTGTTCTGCAGGGGGGTCCCGGTAAGCAGCAGCTTGTAATCAATTTTGTAGCTATTTAGAACTCTAAAGAACTTGGAAAAGAAATCAAGTTAGATGAAAAGAGCTCAGAGAATCTAACTGGTCCTCTGCAGACTCTCGGTGCTGCAGTCTTCAAGCAGAGACACAGCAGCGATGCCACCTCCCCACCGGGCACACAGAGCCAGAGCAGGTCCCCAGCTGGCATGTCCCCATCTCAGCCATCCCCATGGAGCACGGGCCGCAATGCTGAATGTCCTTGGGTCAAACCCTGGCCCTTTCTCTGTTAGGTTTGAAGGTCTCTACCGAGGGTGAAGGTCTCTGCTGTGTGAAGGTCTCAGGGAATCTCCACACTGAGGGGAGGGAGTGATTCCTTTCCATGAGAGCCCAAAGGGCTTCTCAGCTACCTGGTAGCGACCACTGAAAAAACTCGAGGGAGCGCATCCACCAGGACCTGCCTCTCCTAACACCAGAGCGGCTCTCTGATCTATTACCTTTTATTGCCATTAGGCACCAGGTCTGAAAAAGCAAACTAATTTGAGAAAAAGCAGAATGCCAAGCTCCACTACGCATTCTACTTAAAAGACAGCGCTGGGTTCTCGCCCTCTTTTAAAAGGGCCAGCCTTGCGTCTCCTCCACGCTCCAGGGCTGGAGCACACGGACACGCCTGGGCCTTCCTCCCCACTTCCTGACGCTCCCTGCTGCAGGGCAGGCCTTTCTACTAGCCCGGCTGCCTCCCCCTTCACGGTTGGACTCGATGATCTTAAAGGTCTTTTCCAACCATAATGACTCTATGATTCTCCTTCCCAACTGAAAGATTTAAAAGCCAGTGGATGTAAAAGACAACAATCCTGCTGACAGGAGGGTGCCAAGCAGAGCCCGTGCAAGAGGAGGACGGATGCCTTTTGGCTCCCAGAGAGAAGAATGGCAGCAGACTGGCTGGCTGTGGCACCAGCTGCACACGTGTGCTGGGGGAATCGCTCCAAGTGGCTGCTACCTACTTTGGACTGGTTGTTCTTCAGCCTGTGTGCTTCATCCACCACCAGACAGGCCCATTCGATTGAGCCCAGCACCGCCTGGTCAATAGTGATCAGCTCATAGGACGTGAGCAGGACATGGAACTTGATCTGGGCTTCCTTCTGGACAAACAGAGAAGGAGAAAATGCAGGATAACGGTGAGCGCGGCGGGACAGCCCCACGTTGCTGCCGCCGGAGGTGACGCAGAGCAAGGCCGGGGCTGCTTGCACAAGCAGAGCAGGCAGTGCCAGCAAGTGGGCTCTAGGAAGCACTCGTGCCTGCAGAAAATCCGTATCCTTCCAATTCCGCATGAACAGAACAGGGTCTGGCAAAAATCCTTTAAACCCACTAAAAATCTCCTCCACTTACAAAGTGTCAGCTTCTGTCTTTGGAAAGCAGCCAATTAGGAAACTCACAAAGCCCAATCCTGGGTCAAGTTCTGTTCCAGGTCCACCAACATAAATCCTGAACTGCTTTGATGGATTTTGTGCAAGCATTTTTGCATTCTCCTTCCATCTGTACTGCCCCCCACTTCCTCTATGCTCCTCTGAGCCCTAGCCCTTCTAGCCTTTTTCCCTGCTTCTCTTCTACTGTTAAGAGCAGCTGGGTCTGGTGCAGAACGAGCTCCTACCTTCATCCGGAAGACCTTCTTTCCACTCCGGATAGCGTTGTCTTCAAAGGAGAACTCGTTTTCCCTGATGACGGAGCGGCTTTCCTTGTCGCCCGTGTAGGTCACCACGTAGAAGTCGGGTGCCCACATCTCGAACTCGCGCTCCCAGTTGATGATGGTGGAGAGAGGCGCGCTGACCAGGTACGGCCCTTTGGAGTGGCCCTGCTCGGGAAGACCACGCGAGCGGCTGTGAGCGCCGCACCGGAGGGCTGGGCAGCCCGCGGGCGCCGCGGGGGTGCCGACGCTCACCTCCTTGTACAGCGAGTACAGGAACACGATAGTCTGCACCGTCTTCCCCAGCCCCATCTCGTCAGCCAGGATCGTGTCGGTGCCCTGGGCCCAGGAAAACCTCAGCCAGTTGAGGCCTTCCAGCTGGTAGGGATGGAGCGTGCCCCCCGTGGCGTCGATGTACCACGGCTGTTTGTCGAACTTCACCGTGGGCTGCGGGGAAAGGCGCGCAATGCCAGGCCCTGGGAACCAGCTCCCCTGAACGAGCCCTCGCTGGGGCTCTGGCCCAGGACGGGCCCCAGAGACGCAGCCGCGCGGCGCCGCCGAGCCCACTTACATCGACAAGGGGAGTTTCGGGGGGCTTCTCTAGCTTCTCCTCTTTCAGCTTTTTCCCCTTCTTGCTCAGCTTTTTTGGCGGACGCGTGTCCTCCCCCAGCATCAGCTCCCTGCAGCAGTGAGTGTGCATCAGGAGCAGGTAGAGGTGCCTCTCCCAGGCTCCAAGCCAGGCTGGCAAGTGCCAGGGTGGCAAAATCCACCCCCTTCTACCACTGAGGAGCTTTTCTGGCCCAGTTACCAGTTACTGAGACTCATGGGGTGTTAGTGATCCCCTTCCAATATCATCATCATCACCCCAAGTAAATGCTAACAGCTCCTCAGAATGTTGTGCTTTTCCCCAAAACAGGGTGACCCCAGGAACACAGAAGCTCTGCGGGCTGCGGCCCAGCCACCTACCTGTGGTTCCAGTAGAGCTGCTTGAGGTTTTCGTAGTACGGGATGTCTATGTCGTCGATCTCCCAGGTGCACTGGTCGTAGGGCAGGTCCTTCCACTTGATCAGGTAATGAACATCTCCCTTCTTGTCGAAGCTGCAACAGCAGCACAAAAGCACATCCATGAAATAACAGAAGGCGGCGAGCACAGTGCGAACCGAAGCTTCTCCATCCCAACAAGCTGCCTGGCAAGGGCACCGTCACCCCGGCTTCCTCTTGCTCCCAAGTGAGCCCCAGGCCTTCAAAGCCTGCAAGACGCTAATGAAAATCCCTTGGGAACCTCCCCGGATGCCTGTGACGTGGTCCAGCAGCAGCAGTGCCGGGACACATGCTGGCACGCGCCCGGCTCGCAGCCCGCGCCGCCGCTCACCTGTGGTTCAGGATGCGGTGGATCATCATCCACTCGGGCTTGATGCCGTAGCGGTAGAACCGCTCCTCCATCTTGGCAAACTGCGGGTCCTTGTTCTTCCGCTTCTCCCGCTGGCTGTCCTCGTCGCCAGAGCCGTAGTCGAAGGCGGGCGGCTCGTCCATGTCGTTCTTGCGCTGGTAGTTGCGGTACATGACGGTGTGGTAGAGCTCGAGCTGCGGCGGGACGGC